CCCACTACATATAGATTCTTGGCTAAAGGTTATTACTCTCAAACCTACAACCTCTTTAGGAGAAACAACTGAACATTTCACAAGTTAGAATAATTGAAATGTTAAAAGGTATATGTTAGGAAGGTAGGGTGATTCACGCTGGCCATTCTGTTATCAGAAGGCTTTATGCAGCCATTAGGCCTGAAAGGCCAGCAACTGGACACTGGTAAGGAAGGGTTTAGAAGTGTGTCATTTTGGGGACCAAGAAGTGAAAGTTTGGCTAGATCATGTGGTTTGAAAGATAGGTTTTAGAATATGTGCTTTAACAGCAATAAATTCAATTCTATTTTGCCTTAATACCTTAAGGCACTGGGATCCATACAGTACCTGCCAATTTTCTTGAGAACATTTCAGCATAGTGTGATAATCGTGTTAAAAGTTATATCCTAGGAGCAGCAAGTTGTTCCATAAATTCACTCCAGGGATGGTCAGCTGGCAGTCCAATCAGCAAGACATTAGAAATCCCAAGTAACTGTTTAGAAGCCCTACTGTTGTCACCCATAGATCAATAAATACAGGAGGCTTTGCTAATTAGCTTAATGTCAAATGTATTTCCATTGGTGCCATGAATGGCTAGCTAATAATCTTAATGATGTAGACACAGGTTATTTGTGAATTCAGTACTAGTATTCAAGATATGTGGCTTGGCTGAAAACAAGTTACTGTTAAAGTAACAAGAATGTAATCAACTCTGTAACTTGTACTTCTGTAAACAGTACCCAAGGCCTGATTGTGAAATGCACCTCTGTCCAGCCATTAATAGAGAATTCTGGTCACCTTCTATTGACCACAAGTGACAGATTTTGCCCCCAGTTCTTGAGGCAGATGCCACCATGTGCTACTGCTTGCTGATGTTTAATTAACGTTTGTGAGACAAATTGAGTATGAGCTTTGCTTTCATATTAAGCAGATACTGGATACGATTATCTGCTAGAAAGAGTCTTGGTGATAAATGACCCAAATTGGCTGTTGGTTTGAAAAATAACTAAGATATTTTGACTTGCTCCCAAATAATATCAATCATCAACACCTATTTAGCAAAGCAAGTTTATTTGATTACTTATTCCAGACAAGTGAGGCTTGTGTGTACAACTAAGAAATACGACAATCCAAATAAAAGGCAGGAAATATTAGTATGAACTACACAAACAGCTATCTAGAAAGGAACGGCAGCTGCATTCATTTTACATAATACTGTGGAATGATGTAGCACCATTTACCTCAAAGATATCTTAAGTTCTTTATAAGGTAATTATGTGACTCTTTGCTGAAATGCAGCAATGGCTTAAAAATTGTAGCAAACCCGATGATAATCTTATGTTCAACTACAGATATAAAATGGTATCAGTAAAATTCAGAAAAAATAGGGAATCTGGTGAGGATCTTACCTTGTACAATTCTTTAAAAAAACCCAAAGGAAATAGTTACCATTATTGAGACCTGTTTTCTTCCATTGTCTGCACTGTTTACCACTATCATTATGACCTAAATTCTAAGCTTTGGAAGATTTGATGGGTTATTTAAGAACACGTTATTTTTTAAAACTAAAGTTCTCTCTTTATCTTTCTGTTCAGACTGTTCTGCTCTGAACCACAAACCTGAAGGAACAAGAGAGAACGTTAATGCTGCTGAAACCAAAGGATTAGGATCCTCACTGATTAGTTCTATTGTTTACTATTTCTAAAGATCATTCTGAGCTATTCTGCTCTGATCAGTCTTAGGTTGAAAGTTATTAAAGTTTGACCCTGTTAATGAATGTAAACATGAGGACATTTATAAATTCAATAGTAAGCATTCTTCTAAATACTGATTCATCTAAACACTGGTTCATCTGAAATATATAAAGAAATTCGGAGAAATTTGGTATTCCAGAATCCTCCAACAGCCCACTTTACTAGTTAAGAGCCATACTACATTTTTTCAGAAATCTACAACAGAGAAAGCTTATGGGAAAAAACCTCAAAAAGTCTGGGATAATTCAATGTTGCAAAGCTGTGGTTCCTAAGAATGCCCCATCACCCCTTTTTTTTTTTAAAGATCATGAACCACTTTGAGAAGCTCATCAAATTTATGAATTCCCCCGCCCCCGCCAGAAAAGAACAAAACAAAAACGCATATAAACAAATTTCTTATATACATTTGCAAAGGATTCCCAAAAGCCCATGATCCCCGAGTTAGGAATTCCTATTTCAAAGCTGAGCAACACAAAATAAGTTTAGCCCATTTCCACACTGTTCATCTGTACTTTATTGCTACTGTAGTAAAGTAAGCATTTTAATAAGGTTACTTGTCGCTTTAAGACAGTTATTGTAAGCACCAATAGTCTTTTAAAATTCATTTTGCCCCAATTTTACAAGGTTTTAAGCCATGTACTCTCTCAAATGAATTAAGTCCCTGTGATTTAAGCTAGCAGACAAGTATTTTCCTTTGATACATACTATTCTTCAGAGCCAGTCCTGAACACTGAGATTAAGATTTCATACCCTTGGGAAAATGAACATGTGTCTACATACCGGAGGTTATTAACTTTACAAAATATATTTCTGGGTAAGTTTCAAACTTGAAGACCCATTTATTTAGTGCCTCTGAACATAACATACAATCCCAATACAAACCTTCCCCTTTTACTTACTTGGAACCAGTACAATGGAGCTTTCCTACTATGCTCACAAAATGTACTGAACATTCTATCTACTGTTTAGGATAGAAAACACTTCATTTCTGACCAAACCCACCATCTCAAAAGTATCTCTTCAACTCCCAAGTTATCCAACAGGTTGAAGAATGTGATCTTTGAGGTGTCTAACATTCAACCGATTTGGCTGTGTCTCAACCCCATGCTGAACAGACAAATAATGACTATACTGTGGTATAAGGGTTAGGCCTGTGGCTTTCTTATTGAAGAAAAACTCTACTAGTCATTCTAAAGAATGTTTATATAGGAAGGCAAACATGAGAATTCTTAGAGACTTGAATACTGATAAATGAAGGGGAAAATAGCTAGATATTAAACACAGAAACGCAAACATAGCACATACAGAAAATTTAATCAAATCTTCCTAACTGAAGAATTTTTTAATTATTTAGTCCTTTCATAGTCTTTTACTTCTGCTCAAAGAGTTTTTATAGGACAAATTTAAAAATATTTGAATAAAGAAAAGGGTTGGCTAAAAGAAGAGCTTTCCAAGTGAGCTACAACTTGGGTTACAGGATTTCACTTTTGCCTTTTACTATGTAAAAAGAGAGTAACAGAACAACAACTATTTTTTCCTGCTCTTCTAAGTTGTCCCTTGTAAGAGATTAAATACTAGAATTTCCATTTCAGCAACCGAGGGATCACGGAACAGGAGTGGGAGAAGGATACTGCTCTCTATCAGGATTCCAAGCATTTCAACTCTGTGGTAAGGGGCTTGTGAGAGAAAATGGACTATTATTCCACGGGCTAAACGGGTCCCATGAGTCCTATAAAATATACAACCAAGTATTTTCCCTGCTCCATTCAAATGTACCATTTGTGTTTTTCCTACCAGAACCTACTAAATTGCTGAGTGAAAGCTGAAGAAAGTAATAAATACCAGCATTCCTGGCTGTGCAATCTATACATTTTCATTTTAAGAGTAATTCAAGCATAATCCATATTTAAAAAAATTAAAGAGAGACAGTAAAGGTTTTAAAGTTTTCTCTTTGAAAAGATGGTATCTTACAGTACATACAAAAATACTCTGAAAATACATACGACTTCATTTACAAAACACTGAATCAACATATTACAAGAATTACATGGTTATGGATTTTAATAAACTGAGCATGCGTTCATGAAACTTAAAAAATATTAAGAAATGCATTGAAAAAAGCAGTGTAAAAAAAGACAACTCATATCGTTAAATAAAAATTACAAAGGTCCTGAGCCAATTAATGGTTGGTAACAATGTTGTCCAAAAAATGCCTTAGGTTTCAGTAAAATCCACTGCTTATTTCTGCATGCCTAGTCCATGAAGAAACTATTTGAAGTTGTGGGGTAAGTAATGGTCAAGAATTATCATGCCGAGTTAATTTTACACCTCAAGAATACAAGTCTGCCATATTTAAAGGTATCTCATTGTTGATGCTGGAATGAGTTGCTCCTCGGTAAAAAACACCAGTCAACTAACAAGAATGGCATGAGCTAGGATATGTAACAATTTCACCATTCATATACTGACTTTCAGTATCTTGGTTACATTTTGATTCTTAATAAAGATGCATTTCGAAGGCCTCCATGGGAGGCAAAATATAGAGAATTTATGGTGCCCAACTCTTATGTAATCACTGGACTAATCCTCCCTGGTAACTATGCAACATTTGGACAGAAAGGCACAAAAAAATAAAAATTTAAATATTCCATGTGCCATTCTGGAAAAAAATAATTTAAATCAACAGAATAGACAATAAGTACATCTACACAAATGAGGAAAGCAGAAAAGATACCTCACATTCACTTATCTCAGGTTTCACAAAGTGGCTTCAAGGCTAAAGTAAATGTGTTAACATTTGGAAAATTACAATTTTTTTGTTTTCAACTTTTTCAGTTCTATACAATGATTATAACATAAGACTTAAAAAAAAAAAAAAAGTTCTGGACTCGTTTTATCCATGTCCAAAGAGCCGAGAACTGGTTCCCACAACAGAGAAACAAGCATCGAAAGTTAAGGCAGTAAAACCTCCAACGCAAAGCCATAACATTGTAGATGACAATCTGATAGCAGATGATCCTCACAGAAGTGTACGTAGCAAATCAATGAGAGAATGCTACGGCATCTGCAGGTCAGAGTGTGAGAGTTCAAAACCACTTCAAGCTTGTTAGTCCGATGACTGTAACTTTCACCGTATTATATGTGTGACAGCCACTTCTATTTTAAAAAGAGTGGCTGCTCTATGCCACTAAATGATTGCATATTCACTTAAGTAAGGAGGCACTGCTTTTACCGATTAAGGGTCAGTCGAATGGAATTTTTGATGACTCGAATGTTATTTGCTGGAACCGGAGATGATGAATCTGGTAGTTCTTTACTGGGTAGTCTCTATTAGAAAGGAATAGAAATAAAGAAGGAAAAGCAAACATATATTATAAAGCCTCAACTAGTAAATCAGTCACAAAACTGAGTTTTCCTTCAAATTCCTTAAGCTCTTAAACACTCACATATGTGTTGAATACTTTCTTCCAATGTTCATAGTCATTTCCTTGGTTTGGGGACTTTTTTTTATGCAGTCAGAGGTGAAAAGCAGAGGCACAGGGAAAGGGTGCAAGTGGGAGGAGTGTATGTATAGGAAAAAGGGCTTTGTTAAATCACTCGCCACTTCTGGATTGAGAAATGCACAAAGTCAGGCAATGGTAAAGAGAAGTACGAAAAGCAGGGTCACTAAGCAGGAAAGTGGTGGTGGTGGGTGAAAAATGAGTGTGCTACAAAGAAAACAGGGTCTGTCATATACTCGTGGAGAACAACACTGTAAATCCAACTTGTGAGAGGAGTTTTCAGGAAAATGGACTTTGTAGTCAGACCAGGTAATGTTAACTTCAGTGACAGTGAAACTCAGGTACATCTACATGAAGGCTTCTGAGGATACTAAAGATGATTATATCATGAAGGTAAATCCTGAGAAACTGAGAAAGAGACCTCTTACAGATAGTTGTGTGATGGAAACAGTACGCGAGAGTTAATTCTCTCATGTCACTAACTTGGCCAAACCTACATACCCACAGCCATTCAAAAAACATGAAAAATTTCAGACATACAAAAAAAGTAGAGAATACGACAATGAAGACTTTTTAATGCCACAATTAACACTCAGACATTATTAAACATTTGCCACATTTGTTTGGTTTATATCCTTACCCTCTATACTTGAAACATTTTCTTTTTTCAACGTTTTTATTTATTTTTGGGACAGAGAGAGACAGAGCATGAACGGGCGAGGGGCAGAGAGAGAGGGAGACATAGAATCGGAAACAGGCTCCAGGCTCCGAGCCACCAGCCCAGAGCCCGACGCGGGGCTCGAACTCACGGACCGCGAGATCGTGACCTGGCTGAAGTCGGACGCTTAACCGACTGCGCCACCCAGGCGCCCCGAAACATTTTCAACCTAGACCCAGCCTGTCATTTCATGGTCTTGTACCTTAATAACCATATCAGATTTTTTTCTTCCATTATCACATATAATCACATACTCATATTTTTTGTAATGTACTCTTTATGTTAAAAGGAACTTTATGAATTCTACAGCTAATAGAAAGTATGATACTATTTGCTTCAAAAGCCAGTAAAGGGGTGCCTGGGTGGCTCAGTCGGTTAAGCATCTGATTCTTCGGCTCAGGTCATGATCTCACGGTCTGGAAGATGGAGCCCTGCATTGGGATTCTCTCTCTCCCTCTCTCTGTCCCTCCCCCACTTGCACTCTCCCAAAATAAATAAACTTTAACAAATAAAATTAAATGGCTATTACATTGTGAGGAGCCTGGTTGATTGTGATAAGTACTTTACTCTTTGATGGGGGTAAAATAAGCCATTTTGTTGACTGTAAATGCTCAGAAAAGGACTTCTCTGATCTACACAAGGCTGAGTTTTCAGCACCTACTTATTAGCCTTCCATGCTTAATAATACTGTATTATTAGTTTCAATGGCAATTCTTTGAAAAATAAATTTTGAAATTAAGATTTAGGGGTTCTTTAGCTCATGTTTTAAAGGTACTATGTATTCCATTACATTAGGTTCTTCCAAAATATTAATAAGTATCAAGCCTAAGTTTTGACAGTAAGCAATGGTATACATCAAAAGATCTATCAAGCGTTGGTAAGAAATTACTGTGCTTGAAAAAGGAACAAAGGTTGAACGTAATGTGAATAAATAGCTAAGCTTAAATAACTTCCTCTTTTCCTGACTTTGGAAGTACATACATTTAAGACCAGACCTTGCTTGCGTTTCTACCCCAACTCCAAACTATACTGCTCATCTTTGAGGACAGGGACAAAATCTTATTACCCTTTTCTTTCACCCAGTGCATGGCTCTTAAGCTTTTTGTACCTGTAGATTATCTACGAGTAGGACTTTACCTTTTTGCGTGATGTATCAATAGTTGGAATAGGCATACATTCTCCTCCAATGGCATCCTAAAAATAGAATTATATACAAATGAAAACTTTCCTTCCTATGTATGCTTATGTCTACACAAAATAAAACATAACCCAAACTTCACAGACCTATCTAATATGATCCATTTTCAAATATACAGTCCTTTTCCTGATCTATGGCTCTTTGAAAGTAATATTTTGAAGCACACTGTTAACGTATTTACCATTGCTTTTCTTTTTCTGTCTTCAGGAGCACGTGATTCCTTAAATGTTGATTCAAGTCGAATAAACTGGAATATAAATACTAAGATGAATTGCTATTATCACCTACAAAACCCATACAATCTATATAAACTGAGAGGCTAATGATAAGGCTACTGTCAAAACTACTGCAACTTAAACTAGACTAAATTGAGCTGCCACCTTTAACTTCAACTTGAGTGACCTTTTCGGTTAAATCAATTCAGATGATGATAGTTTTACCACCACCTACTGGAGGCAGACAACATCAACATTATAACACAATAAATATGACTGGTTACCAATAGTAACTTCTGTGTAAGTCAAAGAGAAACTCAGACCAATTACTCAAGTTTTCAGATCAAGTTTTAGTCATCTGAATTTAGGATGAACAATCAGTATTATTCCTTTAGGGTTTGGGTAAATATTCTTTTTAAACAAATCCTAACAGAACACTAAGACAGCTATGGAGAGTTGTGAATTTCTTTAGTGCTAATTTAACTTAAAAAAAAGGACTACCACTAAGGTTGTAACTTTACCTTTTCTATTTCTTTCAACCTCTTAGAAGACCCATCTACGGATGGGGAATGGGACCTCTTATGTGCAACATTCTTAGTTATGTTTGACATTCCATTAAGATGTGGCTGTCCCTGGGCAGGGTTGTGGGGTGTTGGGATTCTAGGAATGACATTTCGTCCGACTACAGTAGGAATGGTGCACACAGCTGGGGGCGATACGGCTTTTACTGCAGAATCAACTTCTGAAAAGGAAAAAAGAAAAATTCTAGCAATTAAATATATACATAGTAGAATGGTTATTAACAGAAGTGCAGATACCTACTTGCACCAATGACTGGGATAGACAGTCCTTGAGCTTGTGGCACACTCAGTGGCTTTTCCGCAATTACAGCAGCAGGCTCAGTATTATTCCTATTAAAAGTGTTGAATTATCATTAAATACTTTGTGTGACTTATTTAAAACACTCATATTCTAACATTCAGGATGACTTCTTTCAGGTACTCCTACTTTAATGTTCCAATGGAGGAAGAGAAAAGCGGAAAAAAGGCAGAGGACTGAGTGAAAAATGAGAAAAAACTGCAAAGACCTGGGCATTTCTGCGTACTTTTAAAGTCCTACATATTCATGAGCCGATACCACGTTCCACAGGATTACAACGCACTGTCAAGTATTTCTAGTCAGAAAATGACTAGTAACTGCTACGGCATTTTAACAGTTAAGATACTTAGCTAAGGACAGAAAAGTTTACATCATCCTCAAACTGAAGACTGAAAGGAAAATTCTGAAGTGCAGACCTTTCCGTTTCTCCTGAAGGAAGAACGTCAGGCTTGGAAGGTTTGTTTGCAGACACTGGGGAATTAAAAGGAGTTCCATTATCAGTGTCTCTGGAGCTATCCAAACAATTGCTATCCAGAGATGATCTTTTGGATTGAGGTCCACCTGAACTTCGACTGACATCAGAAAGACTTTGCTGAAAGAGGGAAAAGCAGTTAGGATTTCAAAAAGCAAATGAGAATAATTACTGGTTTCAATTCTGAAGTACATAAAATGAATCTTTTGTGATGAATGAAGGGGAGATTTTAGTTCTAGACTGAAATGTACTTTTCTTTCCTTTTTTTCTTAATAGGTTTGGGAGCTGTGAGAATGCCAATCTGATCCCAGGAACATCTGTCTGAGGGGAACCATACTGGAGAGTTAACATTACAAACTCACCTTTTTCTTCTTTTGAAGAATCTCTGCGGGAAGGTAGTGATGAAGTTGCTTTTTTTTAACATGAGTTGCTTCAATTTTCATCCCTTCCTTTAGCATGTTTATATTGTTTGCCTGTCTGTACACTGTAACAATGTTAGTATGTTAAATGGGCAACTTCTTCCTCAACCAGGAAGTCTGTTTTCTTTTTCCAAAATGCATATATTTGATATGTCCCCATAATCTCACAAACATACATACCCACTCTGCTTACAGAACAAGTATTTTTAAAACATTTTCATTTCACAATCCTATTTAAGTACCAACTAGTTTTCCCATGTCCAACTTCTAAGACTTTCCAATAATCCAATCTCATTAAAATGCATGAAAAAAGTTTTTTCCAAATCCTATTTTCTGTTATTTTCCCAAAAGACAGTCTCTTCTCATAATTACTCACCCAAGTCTAAGCTAATCCTTATACTAAAGATCCAAGATGCAATACAAGTTGTCATCCACCATGATGTTTCTTTTACTACACTAATCACAGAATATTGGACTGTCAGGAACTATCCAGAAGTATATCCTTATTGTACAGGTGGGGAAATGAGGCTCAAAAGCCCTGAATTCTTGCTGATGGTGGAATACACACAGCCCTAGAGTCCCTTTCTAGCACTTTTCACATCTTGTAACAAAGTCAGTTTTATTAACATGAATTATTTAATGTACGTTTAACTGTGAATACCAAATTAGATCATAAGCTTACTGAAGACACAGAGGAGAGGCTTCTTTTGCATAGTTAACTACTGTGAAATGTGGTACATTATCTCCTTGCTTGGGGTCTCAGAATCTCTATCTGGAGAAGAACATTCTATAAATCTACAACAAACAGAGCTTCCCAATCTCCTGCTTTTGGAAAAATGAGCCCAAATTAGAATGGAAAAATGTATATCCATGTTTTCATTCCAGATTGCTTATAAAAGCATCACCAGGAGTGCTTGTTCAACTTGCAGATTCTCTGGCTCCACTCCCAGAGTGTGGGATTCGGTAGTGCCGACGTGATGTACAGGAATCTGCATTTTCATGATAAATGTGAAAGCTAGTTTAGAAGAATTTAGAAAACTCAGATAAGCCAAGCCAAAAATATTAATAGTATGAATGTACACTATTCCAGATTAATACAACTCCAAATTTATAAAAGATACGTTAAGATATTCCAGAGAGCTGTTATTAGGGAGCTAGATGTAAAAGACACTCTTTCTCTGATTCTGAAACCTAATCAAGGCTATCAAGTGCACATATCTGCGCACACTGGAAATTAAAATAACCTGTACAGTTTCTTTAGTCTTTTCTGAAATAGGTAATGCCATCACTTGGTACAAAACTCAAGCAGTTCAAAGAAGTCTCCTCACATTATCCCCTAGACACACCTGGTTCCTTGACCTAAAAAGCAACCACTTCTACCACCTTCTTTTTTTTAAAACTATATATCCTTCCAAAGATATTCTAGGTACTTACAAGCAAATGTGTTTATTTATTTACAGAAATTGTAGCATACTATACATACTGTTTTGCAACTTTAGCCCCACTTAATGTCTTGGAAATTATTTCACTATGCCTTTTTAAAATAGCAGCATAGGTTTTCATAATGTGGATGTACACATTCATTTAACCAATTAACAAATCTAGCCAGCCAGATCCATGGCAGATGATACTGTGTTACAACCAAACTTGAGAACCATAGCTCCATGATGACAAAGTCTTACCTGTATCAGTAAACGACTGTATATCATAGGTCAGGTCTATGTTAACACTTTCTGCATTTTCAACTCTCCGAAAAATTATTCCAAGGAACCACATTGACACGTAATTGTTGCTATAAAATAAAAAAATTTAATTAATTAATTTATTTATTATAATTTTACAGATGTCATTTGGTAATTCAAACTCAATCTCCATGGAAACATAAATACAAATTGCAATGGTTTGGCTAAATTCTTTTTTCTGTAAGTTTATTTATTTATTTATTGAGAGAGAAAGAGCATGAGCAGGAGAGGCGCAGAGAGAGAGGGAGAGAATCCCAAGCAGGCTCCGCCCAAAGGCTCAAACTCATGAACTAGGAGATCATGACCAGAGTTGAAATCAAGAGTCAGATGCTTAACTGACTGAGCCACCCAGTCTCCCTGGTTTGGCTAAATTCATTTTTTTTTTAAGCTTATTTATTTATTTATTTTGAGAGAGAGAAAGTGTACATACATACAAGCAGGGGAGGGGCAGAGAGGAGAGACAGAATCCCAAGCAGGCTTTGCACCATCAGCATAGAGCCCCATGTGGGGCTCAAACTCAGGAACTGTGAGATCATGACCTGAGCTGAGATCAAGAGTTGGATGCTTGGCTGTGCCACCCAGGTGGCGCCCGACCCTGGTTTGGCTAAATTCTTAAAATTGACACCAAAAAACACTGATCAGTTACCCTGTATTGCAATAAAGAGGATTAAATAGCTTTGAAAGTAACGTATCAAATATATTCATAAAGATGCTCCAAACTTGTGATGGGAGTTTCTGCTGGGGTCTGTGGGCTACCAACATAGCATATACTAGTTTTAATGTAGGACCACTCATGTTCAAATACATAATGTATCATCATCCCCCATCAATGTTTGTTAAATGACAATGTCACAACTGATCTTAAATCATGCCTGTTGTCAAATAACATTATTTAAGAAACACAGTATTAAAAAATATTTAACTTACTCTTTATGATGTTCCTTATTTCCTGGGAATGACTGGGGATTTACATGGGCAAGAGTAATAAATTCGTTCCGTTCCAAGTTTCCAACAAGCACACGGATTTTAGATTCTACTAATCCAACCCTGAAATAGAAGAGTGGACAAAATTTTTCCATATGAAATTTGGAAACTACACCTAAGTAACCCAAAAAGGCATATGATAGCTATGATGCTTTACATGCTCAATAAAAAAAAAAAAAAAAAAAAAAAAAAAAAAAAAAAAAAAAAAAAAAAAAAAAAATTCAGTCTAATATATTAGGGACTGTTTAAAATACCATTTAAGTAAATGACAAGTTACTTTGTCAATTTCTGTGTCCCCCCCACCCCTTAAAAGAAACGATCTACTTAATGAATTCCTAATCTAAACTACCCTGCCTGTTTAGACCATAAAATAGTCATGATCTCAGTATGAACAAAAACTGTTGATTTTTTTCACTTTCAAATCTTGTATCTAAACCGTAAGGCTAAGATATGTTTAAATCATGTGAACAAAAAAAGCTAATAACTGGCACTAAATGAAATAAAACATGCTGATTTTCATAAAATTGGTACTAGAATTACATTTAAAAAAGAATTCAGTAAAGTCAGATCAGATACTACTAATATATAGAAAGTTTCATCAGGTATCTGCAACTTTATTTTCTATCTCATTTAACACATGTGACTGCTGTCAGCTATGTAAATTTACAATGATTTTATTAATTAGAAAAACTACAAGAACATTTTTAATTATTCAAACACTTGAAAAAGCTTATACGTTGTAACTGTGTGTGTGCTTCAACAGCACATTTATGAAACACTGAGTTACTACTCAGTGTTGGTCAGAGAGTAAGTATTTTGGGCTTTGTGGCTATAGGGTTTCTGTTGTAACTATTCAACCCTGCCATATAGCAGGAAAGCAGTCATACACAACATATAAGTGAGTGAGTGTGGCTGTATTTCAATAAAACTATTTATAAAAACATGTGGCAGACTAGGTTTGGCCCAGATCATAGTTTCCTGATTCCCAATCTAGACAAATGAAATATGTTGTTTTAGTGAAAGGATTCTTTTCAGTGCCTCTTTAATTATCAATAAAATAAGCACTAAACTTTGGAAGCAAAAGTAAGACAGTATTGTGTTTTTCTTTCCCAGAAGTCAGACCCGAGGAAAGCACAACCATCTCTGGTGGCCTAATAGCTTCCGCCTAATAGAGTTAGGGATGTCTATACACTGGAGGCAAAGGCCATGATTAGATGTACTAGAAAGAAAGCACTGCTCCTTGACCAAAAATGCCTCTCTGTTGACAGAAGCTTTCATGTCCCTAATCTCCTAAATTAAAATAATATATAAAATATCTTTTCCTTTTAGTTTTGAAGGGGAAACATGATGGCAAGGATGGAAAACTTGAGCCTAGGTATCAGAATTGTTTGAAGTGCCTCACAATTTTGCTTAAATCTGAGAAGTGGCAACGGCAAAGAACATACATATATCCTTATCCTGTATTACCTCTAATTATGAAACATTCATTTGATGGCATTTCTTAAACACTGATGCTCCATGGTCATGTATAACAGTCACTAATAAGATTTAACAATTTTAGTGATAAAGTATTTTATAAACCTAAAGCATCATATAAATGTTATCACTACAAATTTAAGTACAGAACTTGAATATCACTTACCACTCTAGATGGTTTTCTTCTGTTGATGCACTGGCAGTCAATACTATATAATGTCTATGAAGAATTTTTAGCAACAGTCATGGAAAAAAAAAAGCCAGAAACATTGTTAGGTCTGCTTTTCCATCATTATTTTTTCTTTCTTCCTCCCAATGAACATAAGAACTAATGCAGACACATAGCTTATGAAAATTAGAACACGCTCTGATTTTCACAAAATCAATTCTAGACACTATAATCAAAAATCAGTTCACTAAAAACAAAAACACCACTAATACTGGGTGAGATACTACTAGAATACACAAACTCATCATTTAGGATTTCTGCTAACCTATTCTCTACCTCACTTGAAATGTAAGGGACAACAGTCACCCATCATATATTAACTTTGTAAATTTAACATTCTTCCTTAAACACACACACACAAAATGAAAAATTTCAAATACCTATACTTTTGAAAAAAATTTGGTGGCTCAAGTAGTTTGGACCAGTCTGATTTCCCTTGAAGGATTTCATCTGTGACTGCAAGACCTAAATTAAAAACGAGACAGAGACTGATTTTGAAAACTGGCTATTTTATTATCAGTTTCTGTATCAACCTACCCCCAAAATCTCTAACCTCAACAAACTCTTGAGTAAAAAAACAAAAAAAAAAAAAAACCAAAAAAAAAAAAAAGGAATTTCTCATAACACAAAAATCAATTTCAAACAGATTGGGCTGGCTCCATTTTGGACTTAATATTAGATTTTAGAAAACTAACTACTGAAAAAATACATATTTGAAAGAATTTTTAGAAATAATAGGCATAACTAAACTTTAGAATAAAACTGTTGTAAACCAAAAACTTGTGGGAATACATAAAGGGCAAAGGGCCAACAAGTTTACCTTGTTTAAATTCTTCTACCATTACTGTTCGAGTTGAGGTGGACACATTATACGTAGAATTCTGCTGTGGGTAGGCAGGGGTGATTATGGGCATGAGATGATACCTATCTGATGGATTTACCTGTGAAATTAGAAGCAGAATAATTGATCTATTCTCCTATTTCAGTTGTCCTCACTTCATTTCCCCAAAAGTCTGAAGAATATGAAATATAAATTTAATACTACAGTTCCTCAATTCTAAGAAGTACATTTTCCCTCCCCAACTACATCTATTTCTGAAGTCAGATGTGTCTGATAGTCAAAGGAAACTCTGCAGAAGTTTATTTTTCCCCTGAAAAGCTGTTAAATGGATGGTGCATCTTATAAACGATGGTCTCTTAAAACCAAGGAAACACAGTATCAGAGCTGCAAAAAGCATTAATCCAATGGTTTCTCACTCCTCTTTCTGCACCTACTCAATGGGTAATTTCTCCTAGGTAACTCAGAGGAATGAGCACTCAATCTAAAAGCAAATTAAAATGCAAGGTGAGAGTTATGCTAGCTTAGAACCATGAGTCTGCTTTAAATTGCACTGCAAAGTAAATCTTTTATATACTTCAGCACTTTTAGTAATTAATTACTTGTAAGTTTTTAGCAACAGATTACAACATTTTGGTTGATACACTCACTCATCTAGTCTTATGTGGGTGATTTTTAATGACATAACATTTGGATCAGAATTTGGAATACAGGTCATCTTCACCAAAAGACACAGCAGACAGAAGGAAAGAACTATAGCTATACAGAAGGAAGATGAGCAGAAACAAGAGAAATTATCTTTAGATTGCAGTTTAGAGAATCGTCCTTTTCCTAAAAGGTTTAATTAATTTCCATAATAAGTCACATACCCGAGGATCCCAAACAGGCAAATTCAAATTGCTTTCTTCTGGTTGCTTCAGTAGGACAGGATTTGGCCATTCCCTAACATGAATAAGGCAAATTAACTGACATAGGACCTCACTTCAGGAACCATAAAAGTCATTAGACTCTGTTTCAACTTTCATATGGCAAACATTATGGCTGGGTATTTGGTATTAAAAAAAAAAAAAAAAAGTGGGCAAGGGAAGGAAGTACACAAAGGAAAAAGCTGCTTATTTTATTTATTTTTTATTATTTTATTTTGTTTTATTTTATTTTATTTTTTAAAAAGCTGCTTATTTTAAATGTATCTTCTGAAAGGGCAAAACAAATACTGTTTTGCTCATTAAGCTGTAGCTAATTTAAATCTGAATTTTCCCCTTCCTTCTATTTGCTTTTATGGATTTAACTGATAATTTAATAGCAGTTAAGAGCTGACATTAACTGAAAATACTCCTAATAAATCCATGCAGTAGCTATGATTATCACCTCCATTTTACATAGGATATGTTAACCTCTACATAGCTAGTAGTCAGCAGAGCAAAATCTATCATGACCACTCTCAAGCTAAAAGCCTACATTTATAGAAACCCTCAATGCCAGAAGAGAGCACCATCTGGTGTCTCATCATTGTCTCAAATTTGACATTTTTAAACTTTTAACTTAAAAAGAATGTAAGACAAGAGAAAACGTCTCTGCATCACTCTTAAATTGCCAAACAAATTTACATACAGGGAGAAGTTAATAAGATAGTGAAAGTATGCCCATAAATACTTACCATTTGGAAAAAACTAAAAAGAACTTATGAACTAAAGTAGAAGCTGCTGCATTTGGATATAATTGGCAAGTTCTTGCAACCAGCATTGCCCAGGAGACACCACCAAGAAATCCCAGCATGTTGGAATAAATACCACGTCCTAGAAAATTAATGTTTTGTTAACTATTGTTAGGATCTACTATCCATGACATTGAACTCTAAGGAATAGGATAACTTAGTTCCTAAGATTGTTGCTTAGTTATTGAAATAACATTACTATCAATAAGCAGACCTTCATGCTAGGCCCACGGTTCTATTAGTAAGCCATTAACTGCATCCTATCCCCCTATTTTGCCCTCCAAAAACAGACCCCTCAGTTCTCTGCCCCAGTTCTGACTGCCCAAGCAGGCTCTACTATAAAACATTGGAATTTCCCACTTTTCAATAGCTATGGTTGAGAAAAAAATGGAAACAAAGAGGAAAGATATCTGGAGGGACTACAAGTAGGAAGAATAAACATTTCATTAGTTATATTCACGGGCATTTAAAAATCAAGTGTAAAGCTGGACTAATTTTAGTATTTTGCAGACTTTGGGTACCTCTCCATAAAGTACAATACACCATTGATAGTACTCATTTTTCTTATGATTGTTTCTTTTAGCAATCTATAAAATATTACCATATTTGATCAAAACTACTAAGTCCTCAATTACATAATAGGACATTTTTTTTTTAATGTTTTTATTTTGTGAGAGAGCACATGCACAAGTAGGGGGTGGGCAGAGAGAGAATCCCAAGCAGGCTCTGAGCTGTCAGTGCAGAAGAGCTCAACGTGGAGCTTGATCCCATGAACTATGAGACTGTGACCTGAGCCAAAATCAAGAGTCGGATGCTTAACCAACTGAGCCACCCAGGTGCCCCAACATAGTGTTATTTTATGTCCCACTAAGCAAGCAAGAGAAAAAGATACAAAAATTTCAATTTTAGATATGTTAAATGGGTAAAATATACATCTAAGGATTGACAAAACATGTTATGTAATTTAATTTGTAAGGAAAAAAAAAATGTGATATCCCTTTCTTGCAACTTACTTTATCCTGACTATACCAGGTAACTGAGTCCAAGGACAACTCCTACTTGCCTGAGGTCTTTTTAGATATGTACTTCCAACATGGTAGCCACAAGTCATATGTACTTTCTTTTTTTGTAATAGTTTTATTGAAATATCATTCACATACCATAAGATTCATCCATGTAACAGATTAAAATTAATGGCTTTTAGTATATTCACAGAGTTGTGCAATCATCACCATAATTAATTCTGGAACCCTTTCACCACCCCAAAAAGAAACCTTTAGCAGTTGCTCCCCTCCTATCTGCTCCCAGTCTTCCCAGACGTAGGCAAATACTCATCTACTTTTTATCTCTCTACATTTGCCTAATGTGAACATTTTATATAAATGGAATTTACTTCAGTCCTTTTTATTGCCAAGTAATAGTTCACATTATGGCTATACCTATCACCTTTAGTTTATCCATTCATCAATTCATGAACATGAGGTTGTCTCTACTTTTTGGCTATTATGAAGAATGCTATGAACATCTGTGTACAAATTTTTACATGAATATATGCTTTCACTTCTCTTAAATTTTAATTTGATTAAAAAATTCGGTTTCTCAGTTGCACATTTCAAGTGATCAATAGCCACATGGTTACTTTTGGACAGCACAGAAAACATTTCCATCATCACAAAAAATTTTATTGGCGAGTGCATTTTTAGACTATGTAAAACGTGGTGCCAGAAGTACAGCACTACTTAAATACAATTACAAATTATGAAAAATGTGCTGTGCCAGCTTAGGTTTGGGCCTTTTATGAACCATAACCTATGTATATATATAAATTAGTTCCAGGCTTTACTAGAAAAGTGTTACAAGGCAAAAACAGAAAGAAGCTGAAACTATCACTATAGGCTCTCCACTTAATAACTTTACCAAATACCTACTATAAATTATACTCTAATGGTAATGGGGAGACAAAGATGAGTAAGATGGTCCTGCCCCATAGAGAGCATGAAGAACAACGAACGTTTCACTCCTCAAGTTCTAACTCATTCTGACTGGCTGGCTAAAACCCAAGATGGGAAGTCAGGAGTTTTTAGTTTTCAATCAAGCAAGAAGGAGGTATAGTCACATATCAGATCACCATAACCACTGTACCTGAAAAAGAAACACATTCTCCAAAATTTACTGGACCTCAATCCCTAACAGTATCAATAGGTTCAGGAATTTTCATATGTGCTTCTATCATTAGTAACTGAAAGCGGTAATTTTACAGTGTAAACTTAAAAGATCTGGGATACTTACGTTTTGCCCATAATTTGACTGCTCTTAGGGTGAGTCTAAAAGTTTCCTTATTTGGCACTAAATGCAAAATTTCATCAGTAACTCTACATCCTGAAAAAGATAAAGCATTCATTTTTCATTATGCAACAACATCCAGTTAATTCAGACGGCTTCTAATTTCCAGACTCTCAAAGGTTAAAAAATCAAAGATAATAAAATGCGAGGATTTATTTTCTCTATGTATTTGAAATTTAGCACTTTTATGAGGAATCACTTTGCTTTTAAAGAATTAAACAGCACATGGGTAACGTAATTCAACATTAAAGGAAGACATGGGTCTGAGTATCTTTAGCTTTCTTCAACATTTGACTTTACTGTTAATCCAATGTCGCCAACTTACAAAACTTTTTCCTTTAAAGTAAACCTTATTTCACAAACACTGTGATTTACTGTTGGACCCTGAAGTACAACAAAAATGCAATGATTAAATAAAAGATGCTATAAGCCAGTGGTTCTCGGAAGTGCAGTCTGTGGATCCCCGGGGAATCTGTCAGGTCAACCTATTTTTTTTCCTCCAAAGTTCGTCAAACCTGTTCTTATAATAACAATAAGGCTTTGCCTCTTTTACTGAGTTAACATTTGCACTGATGGTGCAAAAGCAGTGGTGGGTAAAACTGCTGGTACCAAAACTGTACTAGTAAACAGTTTATCTTCACCACTACACGTTTGCAGTTAGAAAACAGGAAAGGAACCCTGCAGTGTCTGAAAAGTTTGAAGAAAGCTGAACGACCTGCTTTTTTCAAGGAACAGTTTTACTTAGATTCTAAAACAATGAACAAACAAAGTGAGTCCTTCACTTCAAGGAAAACAAACAACAAAACTTGCTACCAACAATAAAATTGGAGCTTTCAAGTAAAAATTAAAATTTTGGACAACAGTATCTGCTGTGAGCCTGGCAGCTTTCCAGTATTTAAAGACTTGTCTGGTGAGATTGGTGGGGACATTAATGAATGTGATTTTTTGGGGTACCTTATAAGGAAATGTGTGTTAACATTTAGAAGATCCAAATAACTTTGTGAACCAGTGTTTTCCAAACAACTAAGGCATGACTGTATATAAAATCATGTATGGGTAAAAGATCCATTCAAAGAACAAAACAGACCAATAGATTTTAATATAAGAGTATAAAAACTTAACTGATATTCAAATTAACCTTAAAAAAAAGTCTTTTATTTAGAAATAAAAGGGAACTACTGATACATGTTACAAACATGGATGAACCTCACAAACATTATGCTAAGTGAAAGAAGTCAGACACAAAAGACCACATATTGTATGATCCCATTTATATGAAATGTCCAGAAAAAGCAAATTTATAGACAGAAGGTAGATTAGTGGTTGCCTAGGACTGGGGGTTGGAAAGGAGAATGACCGTAAATGTGTAAGAGGGATCTTTTGAAGATGATGAAATGTTCTAAAATTGGACTGTGGTGGACAACTCTGTGAATACAGTAAAGACTATGGAATTGTACCCCAAAAGGGACAAATTTTATGGCATATAATTATACCTTAATAGAGCTGTTGGAGAAAAAAAAAAAGACACTGTCACTGGTCAAGTTTTGGTGTAGCATCAAAGAATATCCATAATTTTCTGAAAAAGCTATTAAAATTCTCTTCCTTTTTCCAATATTAAATATTGGAAATATTAAAGAGATTTGCAAAAATGCAAAAAATGCCATTCTCACAGAAAAGATGCATTTATATTCACTTAGAATGGGTTTATTATTTTGAAATAAACTCATACTTTAAAATTTTCTGTTTTTACTTCTAATACAGTAAATACTGACAGATATAACCCACATAAATAGAAGATTTTGGGGTCCTCAATAAATTTTCAAAGTGCAAAGGGGTCCTGAGACCATTAAGTTTGTGCACCATTACTACAAACAACATTTCAAATAAATGTATCTTTTAAAACGCCTAAATGTGGTCAGATGATCTATATAAAGAAAATCACATCATTTTTAACTGAGTTAGTCCAATCCCTTGAAAAGTCCATTAATAGTTCTGCAAAAAGATCTCTTTGTCTAATTGTTTTCAAGCAGGTATCTGAGATTTCTTTTTAGAAGCTTACCATTTAGGCTGCGAATACACCTTATATCAAGGCTTCTCAGTCGAGAGTCGTCTCTTAGATCTAAATTATCTGATATGGTTTGTATTGCCAGTCTTGCAAAGACTAGATCAATCTTTGGAAAGATAAAAAAAAAAAAAAAAAAAAAAGAGAAAAATATTACTTTTTCTCCTTCTAGTCCATTCTCCCCCCTCCCAACCTTAAAAGTATAAAGTTCTAATTATTAGTTTGGGAAGGTCTACCAAAACTTCAAAAAGCCTATCTAGGCAATCTCACATGGGAAAATCACCAAAGTTCTGTGATGGTAATTAAGTTTGCAAATTAAGAGAAAGCATTTTAATTTAGCATATATGCCGAGCATTAAAAAGAACATCAAAATCTTATGAGTGAACTTCTAGAAAAGATGGCAGATCCAACACACATTTACATTCACTCCCTATTGAAACCCCATTAAAATACCAGCATAATTTCGTTTTGTTTTTTATATTATTTTGTTTTTGAAGGCATCATCCACTAGGACAAAGGTAATAAAGAGACAACAGCAAAAACGATGAAAGCAGATGGGGATGAGTGGTAACTGACTCAGCAGATTTAAGAGATAAAAAATATTATAACCAGGAAAGAGGGAGGCTGTAAATAAACACATACATAAATAGAAAGGAACATTTAGAGAATAAAAAAGTTATTCTTAAAAATATGACAGCAGAAAGGGAGGACAATAGGAAGTTTGGAAGATGAGAAAACCCCAAAAAGCAGAACAAAAATATAGCGATGTGGAGGTCTAATACACAGAAAAAGGAGAGAAAACAAAAGGTAGGAAATCCAACAGAATTCAATACAATTTCCAAGAACAGAAGGACAGGAGTTTCCAAAGTGCTTAAGAGGACTATTAGTGCCTAGCATATTTGGTTGAAAAGATATACCAAAGTATATTATTGCCATGAATTTAACAACTATGAAGCCCAGGAAAAAAAGATCACATTAAGTGTCCAAAGAGATAAAACAGCTCACAAGCAAAGGATGTGAAATCAAAATGGCATCACACTTTTCAACAAAGCATGAGAGGTAGAAGACAATGAAGCAAGGTCTTCAAAATTCTGAGATACACTATTTCCCACCTAGAGCTCTATACTCAGCCAAACTATTATTTTGGTGTGAGAACAAAATAAAGTCACTTTTAAACATGCAAGATCTCAAAAATATGTGCTCTTTTTCAGGAAGCTAGTGGATGAGTGCCTGTAAAATGACAGGAAGTCAAAAAAGAAGAAACCTCTAGAGAGAAGTGAAAGGAAATCCCGGGATGATAGTAAAGAAAGATGCCAGGATGCTAGTTGTATATCATTCATGGAGAATTGGGTGTGGATTCAAACAGGTGAGAAGAGTCAGATATCTTTTTAAGTTGATAATGACAGAACACCTGAGAAATCTAAATCTATTTGGAGATTTAGACAGCTAGCAGAGAGTAAGTTTGAAATAGTGTTATGTATAAAAACCAAGCAAACAAAATGCAAAAACAATTACTGACTCCCAAGAAACACAGTGCCACAGAGCAAAGAATGGTAATCTAGTACACGTTATGCTCAGTTTTGAACATCATTTATAAGATCATTATAATGTAAATATTGAATATGTTCCAACCAAAATTATAGTAATACAATTATTTTAGATTATGGGAATGCAAAGGGTGTGTATAAAAATCATGGGGTAGGGATGGAAGCTGGTTCATTTTCCACAGTGAGAAGTCAATAGATACAGGAGAAAGAAAGGTGAGGAACTATTTAAAGACTATTTGATTCTTTAAAATATGTGTCTATGTGAGTCTGACTTAAAAAAGAAAACAAAACTGAAAAAAACCTTATGTATTAAATAGTTCAATTACAAAGTCAGAAAAATATTAAACACTTACTTCAATTCCATCAAATTCAAACTTTATAACAGGTACAAAGGCATCTTCTACAGCCTACAAGAGGACAACAATGACAACACATAAGTAATCCCTTCAAAGGTGTAATCCTTTCTTTATCCTTCCTAAAGTGCCAATGTGAATAATTTTGCTAAAAAGCAAAAATATTCTTGGGTCTCACATTCTAGAAAAATACTTCTACTCTGTGATTGTGTTATTTAAGACACACAAAATGTCAAGACCATAGTTATCAAATTTATTATCCTCCTAAAAATCTTCATCAGAAACTAGCAGGCAGAACTGCTATCATCTGGGTACTTACTATTTGTTGAGATTAAATTAAATACTGATTATTTACAAAGGGCACTAGTACTGGAAATAAAAACATGACCAGAGCTCATGATTTAATCTGTTAGAAAAATACAATCAATATAATTTGATTTAGTAGAAACCGATGTCTTTCTGAGCTTTCCTTAATCCCTCAGCCTAACAAATTCTTAATCTCCTTCTCCATTCCCAGATACCCAAATAATGCAGATCCTTTCAACTTCACCTTATCCTAGCACTTCAGATAGTATTAAAGCTATCTATTTAATTTCCCCAATCCCTCCCTCCCATAAACGGTCTTATTCACTACTGTATTTGTGGGACTAAGGACAGTATCTGACAAATCACTGGTGCTGAAATTTCATTTGCTGATGAATGGCTACATATAACACAAAGTTACTATTAATCTTATACATAATAATAGCCATCGTTTGATATGCATCAACCATTTATCAGATCTTATAGTAAATGTTTATGTCAATTATCTCACTGATCCTCAGAAAAACCTTGTAACAAGTTATCACTACATCTCCATTTTACAGCTGAGGAAACTAGGCTCAAAGAGAATAGGTAACTTAAAATCTAAAAGTTAATATGTGGTAGATTCCAGATTCAAACCCAGGTCTGTATAACTGTAAAGCCCATGTTTTCAATCATTTGCTATTTAAAAAAAATTTTTTTTTTTCAACGTTTATTTATTTTTGGGACAGAGAGAGACAGAGCATGAACGGGGGAGGGGCAGAGAGAGAGGGAGACACAGAATCGGAAACAGGCTCCAGGCTCTGAGCCATCAGCCCAGAGCCTGACGCGGGGCTCGAACTCCCGGACCGCGAGATCGTGACCTGGCTGAAGTTGGACGCTTAACCGACTGCGCCACCCAGGCGCCCCAATCATTTGCTATTTTAATAAAATGTAGCGGCTTCCTTTTTTTTAAAATTAAAAAAAATTTTTTTAATGTTTATTTATTTGAGAGAGAGAGCGCAAGTGGCAGAGGGGCATAGAGGGAGACACAGAATCCAAAGCAGGCTCCAGGCTTTGAGATGTCAACATAGAGCCCATGGCAGGGCTTGAACTCACCAACTGCGAGACCATGACCTGGGCCAAAGTCGGACGTGTAACCGACTAAGCCACCCAGGTCCCCCAGATGTAGTGACTTCTTAAATATTTTGACAACCATAAGCCCTAGCTTTTCTTAATAAGTTCAAAATATTAAATACTAAAGGATACTTACTCTTAAGTTTCTAATGCCATCTTGATGTTTCAATTTTTCAAAAAAAGACTGAAAAAAATCAGATCTCTCCACATGTCTTGGAGCTACACAAAGTGCATCAATATCAGCTCCTGCAAATCAAAGTTATTTCTAGTCAACAAGAGTAAAGTACGTTTTTGTTAAAGTATATACAAACATGTACAGAAGAAAATATGTAAAATGAATATAGGAAAGCGTTAACAATGATTAGCTGAGTAGTGAGATAATGGGTATTTTCCTCTTCTTTACTTTCAAATTATAAATAAATAAGAGCTTGTTACTGAAAGTTCTTATCAGTAGAACACAGAAAAGCAATTACCTTTGGTGTGTACTCCAAGCCTGTAGGAGCCAAATGTGAAAATTTTACCACCAACAGTAGCCACGACAGAAGGTGGGAGATTCTAAAATTAAATTAAATTAAATTAAATTAAACAAATGGCATTCCATTTTTCAAATTTTTTAGCATAAAAATTGCCTAAATACTAGTGATATATACTACATTTGTCAACTTAGGTAAATTGAGATTTGTGAAAGTACTTCAGAGCTCTTTTGGGCTGTAGCTTGAAGTAATCAGAGTATTTCCTGAGGGAAGATAAAACAAATTCATGCATGCACAAATCTCTATGAAAAACATTTTTTATCACTTGACCCTACTTGTCCCCTTCCAATGGCCTGTCTTTCAATGGCTCCATCACTCAGAAGTCACCAAGGAGGTCTTAAGCACCAAACTAATGCACTTTCAGTTCTTTCCAGTACCTTACACTTAACTGACTCCATTTCCCCTTTAGTTATTGCGACAAATATGCTTAATTTCTTTATTCTAGCTTTGCAACCTTTCTGTAAGAAAGTGGAGCCATTCTTGACATGATCTCCTTATGACCTAATCTAACAACTTTAATAAAATCTTTTAGACTGTACCAGAATTATAAGCCTACTTTTCACCTCTCTCTCGAGCCAATTCTAACTTCCCCTTCGCTATTTTCACTCAGACATTCTGATCCACTTCAATAGCCATGCTTGAAACAAAATATTCTTCCTATGATAAACAGGTATCCTGTCTGATTTCTCTTTCTGTTCCTCATTCTCCTCACCACCTGTTCCCTGTAGTCATTATTCTTCTTGGCTTACCAATTTGTAGTTTATATCCCTCACATGTCACCTCCTTTCTATTCAACTACTACCCCCTTAATTCTAGGTTCTAATTTAATCCTCAATTCTAGGATCTTAAGCTACTTTCTTGCCTTTCGTCTGTATTTTCTATTTCTTTTTGTACAAAACTCACTTGCTAATGTTCTTACTATATATTATAACTCTTCTGCTCAAAACTTACTAATGCACTCTTCTCTGACTGCTGAGGTAAGGATCCCTGGATCCTTTTAAAGCCCCAACTGCCAACATGTTACACAATCTAGTCTCCTTTCCATCGCACTTGTCCATCCTTCTCTGGGTATCTCAGTACCAACTATTTTTTCAAAATTCATTTCAAGTTCTACCTTTTTTCACGAAGCCTTCTCTGGTGATCCCCCTCTCTTCCATAACAAGCTCTTTTCCCTCTCTGCTCCTCTATTATACATTTATTGACCTTTCTTTGCTGAATATATGTCCCATCTCTTCAACTATAAATTCCTTAAAAATGAGAATTGTCTCTACTACTTCTCTTAGTTTTTATAATGCCCAGTGCAAGTTCCAAAGAATATCCTTGATTCACTTGAATGAAATTATCTGTGTAACAAGATATGTTTGTTATTCCCTGTTTAATGGATATTAATGTTTCAAGAGTACCACACGTAATTTTAGAGCAAGAAGTCAGTAAAGATACTGATGACTAATATGAACCAAAAAGGTAGAGAAGATAGGGAACTTTTAGCTTACCTTCCTACTTTCTATTTTTTACTTTTCTACTTTGAAAAGCAAGATTCTTACAGATTTTATGAGAAAATGATACACTGAACCAGGGTAAAATATTTTCATTACAGTGCTCGCTTCAGCAACACACAAATACTAAAACTGCAACGATACAGAGAAGATTAGCATGGCCCCTGCGCAAGGATGACACACTGATTTGTGAAGCGTTCCACATTAGAAACAAAATTTCATCACAAACCACAGTAATTAAAATGATCTAATTTGAGTTTTAGATTGTTTACAATCTAAAAATATCCGAACTGTGTGTAGAATATTTAAATGAGCTTTGATCTAACTCAAATTCTTCCAGTATTTTCCAAACTAAAATATGCATAGATAAAAGGAATAGTTGATACATAAAATGAAAAATCACTCTATCCAAACAATGGAAGATGTCAAAACCAATTAAAAATTTTTTTCATAATTAGATATTTTACTTACTGTGCCTACAAAAAGCCAAATTGTGGCAGTCTTAAATTTTTATGCCTAAAAATTAAATGTAAACCAGTGATTGCTTTATGCAGATTAAACTACTGATGTGAGTTAACATGGGAGAAAAAGCTATTTAATAAAAAACAAACACCTTTTGACCTAGAAACAGAATTCTACTGGATTTTTCAGTTAAGTGCAAAGAAATTGTGAAGAAAATTAGGTACATCTCTCAACAAATTATTATACCCTGTTTTGTGGATAATACCACTTGATTTATCTTGAATGCATCATAGAATGGGGATGGAAACAAAAACCTTAGTACAACCATAATAGCTGACATAAAGACCACACACAATAAATCATAAAGCTTGTTATTATGATTTTAAAATAATTCTAGTGTGGGGCGCCTGGGTGGCGCAGTCGGTTGGGCGTCCGACTTCAGTCAGGTCACGATCTCGCGGTCCGTGAGTTCGAGCCCTGCGTCGGGCTCTGGGCTGATGGCTCAGAGCCTGGAGCCTGTTTCCGATTCTGTGTCTCCCTCTCTCTCTGCCCCTCGCCCGTTCATGCTCTGTCTCTCTCTGTCCCAAAAATAAATAAACGTTGAAAAAAAAAAATTAAAAAAAAAAATAAAATAAAATAATTCTAGTGAGTATTTGGTTTGCACATTTGTAACAATTATAGGCTGATTAGAAAGGGACAATGGATTCCTTTAACATTTATTTAATGCCTGAGTTCTGTCTTGAAGTTAGGCAGGTGACCAAGACAGGTCTTTTTTCTTAAGGAGTTGATCACCTAGTAGCAGAAAAACAAAAGTGAATTTTTTTTTTTGTTACTCATGACTAGCATTTCACCTGCTCAGAATTCAACTTATCTGAAAATCTCAACTACTGATAATCCTGCTGAGAGCTCAGAAACGAGTCAGATAGCTATCTGGCAGCAAAAATAAACAACATAAAGACCATTTATTTAAACTCAATGACTGAAGACTTACCAGAGTCCCTCATGACCTTATTCAGAGTCTAAAAGAACCAATTTTGGAAATCAAAAAATTTTTTTAAATGTTTTTTTTTAAAATTTATTTTTGAGAGCGCATGAGTCTAAAAGAACCAATTTTAAACATGTATCATAGGTACAGAAATAAAACTTACAAAAGAAAGAATTCTGACAGGTGTTTATCTAATTTCTAAAATCAGGCAGAGTAAGGGGCAGAAAGAATTTAGAGAGACACACTGCTGTGAGACATTTAACTTTCAACTGATTATTGTTAAGGGAGAAATGGAAAAATTATAAAAACAAACAAAAAACTTAAAATACAACAGTCTGGACCACATAGTGAAGGGGAAAATGGTATCACCCAGTCGCACACACCCTATTTCAATTTAGTATACTCAGTAAAATAATATTCAGTGATTTTCAAATGAAAATTCAATTACATTCAAAATACTCTAAGAAAGTAAGAAAATGTAACTTATTTTAGAAGAAAAATAGTTAAGCTACCGGAAGGGAAAAAAAAGTTGTATAATTACAAATTAGGATTTGCAAACTCTTATGTCTCAGGGGCCAGGCAGGTATGCAAATGGAGGGAAGTATACATAAGAAACACAAAATTGATTGATAAGTGACAAGTGCTGTGTCAGAGAGACCAGGCATTGGTAGGGGCCACGAGGCACTGGAAGGCAGGAGCCCAAATCCACTGAAGCCTCTTCCTGCTTTGCCCAAAGGCAGGTCCAATGTTGCCAGACCTGGTATTTCACAAGATGTCTGAAATCTGGCTTTTAAGCTAAAATCCCTTGATATTTACACTTTGGCCCACTATATATAATTCAAGCAAGAAATCTATGTAGATCTATAGCTAGACACTAGTGAAATTCTCACTTAGAGACTCAACTATCTAGACCAATTCATTACCAAGCAGAGCAAAAAGCCTAGTTTTAATATATTTCAGATTATTCTCAATTTCTACATCTTATTAACTGGGACTAAGGACCAGGACATAATGAACTATGAATTCAATGCAGTTTAGAGTCTTACCTTACTCTCACTGACATCAGAAATCCATTCTTTTACTAAATTGTTCAATTTACCAAGAACAACCAGCCTATAATAAAAAATAACATGCTTTAGATTAAAACTAAGAAAACCCAAAACCAGTATTTAAAAAAGTAGTTAAACATATAGGCAGAACCTTTGTGTTGGTGCTAGAGTAAAAGCACATTATACATGGGCTAATGCTGTCGCATCTGTTGGTACATGGCACATCTCTTTGGCATTCTTAGGTCCCTAAGAGTTCCAAAGAAATGACAAATGTGATGACAGTATTTTGGTCTTTGAGCTATTTTCAAAATTCAAAAAGCCTAATAAAAAATCAAAATTACCTTCAATAAGTCTGCAGAGGCCAACTGAATTGTCAACTTTCTTGGCCTTACTATGGAATAAAATCAATTCAACGTGGTGATAGAGGTTAGCATTGTCTCACTGACAGTCATAGGTCTTTGGATAATTAAAATGAGTAAATTAAATACTGGCTAATTTTTATGAAATAATATTACTTAATAAAAGAATTTGATATTAAACCAAACTTTCAACCAACAGCATATCCAAATCCACATTAAAAAAAAAAAAAAAAAGAGGTTGGGGAAGAGTAGAGTTTAGGCATCTCAAAGATGACATGAAAAATGGAATTCCTGAGATGTCCAAACGTGCTTCTCCCTCAGCCTTCTCCAGGTAATGGAATTCCATCCTTTGAGGTGCTAACATCCAAACCCTTGGCATCATCCTTAACCTCTCTCTCTCTCACACACATTCCAGTCATTAAACAACCCTACCTTTAAAATATATCCAGAACTCTACTACTTATCACTTCCACTACCATCGCCCTAGTTCAACTCACCGTCCTTTCCTCCCTGGGTTCTTGTAATAGCCTTCTAACTCGTTTCCCCATTTCTTCCCTTGATCCCTCTTCAGGCTATTCTCAATATAGCAGCCAGACTGACTGTCTTAAGGCATGAGTAAATCATGTCCATTTTCTGCTCAAAAACGTAATGGCTTCCTATTTCACTCAGAGTTAAAGCCAAAGCTTTTATAATGGCTTATAAGGTCCTAAGTGACCTAGCTCTCCAAGCTCCTTCCCACCTCATATTCTTTAAGACCATATCCCCCTGTTTTGGACACTTTGGTTACCTTACTATATATTCCTTAAATATACCAGGTACACTCCCACCTGAAAACTTCTGCCTAGAATGCTCTTCCCTCAAATATCTACATAGTTCCCTCCCTCTCAAATTTTTCCTCAAATGTTAATGAGGCCTTCCTGACAACTCCACTTCCAGCTTCATTTTTCTCAGCAGCACTTCTTATGTGTAACATTGTATTTATTGTACGTATTTGGCTAATTGTCTTTTCCCCTAACCACCTAAAAACAGAAGCTCTAGGAGGGCCAAAATTTCTCTCCATTTGGTCATTTTTGTATCCCTAGGCAGGATAATGGTAAGTACCTGATATATATTTGCAGAATTAATGATTAAATATTTAATGTGCTATTAAATATTTTGCATTTTTATATGACATACCTGTGGTTCAGTTCTTCTTCATCTTCAAACACTCCAAATGGTTTCATGGCATCAATCAATTTCTGTGTATAAATATGATCAATTTCTTTTGGACATGCCAAACTAATTGGAGAAGTGATTCCATAATGCTTTTGTTGACGCTGGCTGTCCAGCATGGTGTTTCTGTTCAAGAAAAATGAAACAGCAGAAAAAATTTAAAGTATCATATCATACTGATACATGGATCTCTCAATCCACTCATTAATTTAGCTACCTTAAAAGTTTACTTAGTACTAACAGTTGGGGCAGGCACTTTTTTTTTTTTAAGGGAAAAAAGGGTATTTTGTGTTTATTTTGATGAAGGGCTATTCATACTGCCTCCAGCTTTCATGGTTAGGACGTCTTTTCAAGCCAAAAGCAGCATGTGTTGGCATCAGGACAACTGTGCCAGCACCACTTAGCTCAAAGGCAAAGAGCCTGAATGGGAGCTGGGCCAGGGCCACCTCCACTACACCCTGCGGACTTAAGTCAAGTACCATCTATATTCAATCTTTGAAGAGCAGTCAGCCACTTGAAAAGAAAGCTCTGAGTAAGAACAATGTTCCCCCCCCCCCCCAGGAAAGAAACAAAACATCACATTAGAAGGTAGGTCCTTGTGACTCACTTTTAAAAAGAAATCACAACTAGGATTTGTCCTTGAGAGACCTACATTAACATCCTTTGCTCAAATCAGAATTTACAGTCCTAACATTGACTCTGGTTAATTGTTCTCTTTATTTAGATTGGTACCCAGTCCATTGTCACACTAAATAATTATCAAATTCTTTATACTTTTATAGATACAATATAAGCTAGCCTCCAAAAGATCCTAACAGGGAATTACAGTTTTGAATAAAGTACAGCTCAATTTCTGATTTTGTATTTACACAGGCCAATAATTTCAAAATAAATTTTGGGACCACCATGGGTTGGTATAACTTTTTATTCTGCTAAGAAAGTAAAGTAAAAATAAACATACACGATAACCAAGTAACCCTGCCATCTATCTTTACCATTCAACAGTAAGGACCATCAACAACAACAGTTAAGAATGTAATCTCAAAATATAAAAGAACGGTCTTTTAAATAATACATCAGCCCTGTAAACAATAACACACCAAAATACAGTAGTGATCGTTTTGAATTTTAACTGGTCAAAACACTGTCTTATTCACTAAGTTCATATAGTAAGGCATGCTCCTTGGGTAAAGATTTGATTAGGTAGGGAGGGAGAAGCAAATGAAAGATACAATAGCCTATGTATCTTCTGAAATGATTAAGAGACACAAAAGGGAAACATCAGTATTAGTGACTTTAATTTCTTTCTGGTATCAATTTTCCTGTTGAACAAACAAAATTTGTTTATAAGTGTATGGTAAATGGATGGGACAGAGTATATATGATCAATTAATCTCAAAAATAACTGTAAGAGGTAGGTAGTGAATAAGTGCCATCTTACAGATAGGTACCCAAGATCCAAGGGATACGAAGAGCCAGAATCTGAACTCCGAAACCCAAGATCTTTCCACCACTCCATTCTCCCTTCAACAAGTACTTCAGTTCCGGTACTATGATCCTGGGTCCCACTTTCTCATCTGTATGCTGAAAAAGTTAGCTAAGAACATGCCTACCAGCACTAAAATTCTAAATCTATGATTCTGAAACTCCCTCATCTAGAGGGGGGGAAGAAAAAGCAAGCAAAGGAATTCCACATTCCCTTCAATGCATCAATTTCACTTACAAGTAAACACTCTAGAGAAATTCTAGTACAAGTGTACAAGGAAACATGTACAAGAATGTTTACTGCCACACTGTACCATTAAGAACTTAGAAACATGGGGTGCCTGGGTGGCTCAATTGGTTGGGCATCTGACTTGGACTTTGGCTCAGGTCATGATCTCACATTTTGTGAGTTTGAGCCCCACATCAGGCTCACAATCCTCTGTCTCTCTCTCTCTCTCTGCCCCTTGTCCGCTTGCGCACTCTCTCTCTCAAAAATACATTTAAAAACATTAACAAAGGTCATGATCTCACATTTTGTGAGTTTGAGCCCCACATCAGCCT